TGACTGCCACTGGCTCCTGCTCTGGGCACTCCTGGCCAGCTCTCTGCCCTTCTGGCACACAGGATGTGTGGTTTGAAGTGTTGTTTCTGTTCTTAAATTGGACATAATGGCAACACACCATTATATCTGTTCTCACTCTTGATCTGAGGGGGTTTGGCCTGAGGCTCAGCTGAAGTTAACAGTAAACACTGTTGGCATTGCTTTGGTTGGGTTTTGGTTCCTGTGTCCCAGGAGCAGGGCTGTGGAAGGGAGCTGGGTGCTCTGCTTCACCCTAAACACTTGTTGTTCCCTGCTGCCTCCTCACCAGCCAGGCTGCCTTTCATTTGTGAAGGGAAATTCACTGTCAGGAGCTCCTGTGGTTTGGAATATCAGAGTAGATGACAAATGCCACTGCTTGGCCACCATCCTGTGCAGGGGAGGAGAGGGAAGGGGACTGTGAGGAGCAGCGTGTGGCATCTGCTGCTGTGCCTCTCGGTGGCAGAGCTTTGCCACCTTGTTCTTGTGCTTGCTAAGCTTAGTATGAATCTTTTCACGGCTTCATTGTCACCGTATTGTCACTGTGATGTTTGTTCTTGGACAGCGAGGAGCTGTTCTCATCTTTCTTTGCCCTTTGCATTAAATGAGGGGCTTCTCCAGGGCAGGGGTTTCCCAGGACAGAAGTCACTGGGTTCAAGATACAATTTCTTACACTTTCAGTTCCCTTCTGAGTGGCTGCAGGATGAAGATGTTGCCTCACAAGCAAGTGGCAGTGTGGGGGCCTGGTGTGGCTACAAGGGGCAGTGGGGCTGTGATGTGAAGGGCTGCTGCTCAGGCACGGGCTGGGGGGTACAGACACATGGAAAAAACCTGGAAAACGCCAGTGCCACGGGGTTAGTTTTCATACTGGAGGGAAGTGTTTTCCTTTCTGGTTTTTTTGGGTTTTGTTTTCTTTTTAACTGGGAAGTCTTGTTTCAGATAAAAGGCTTGTCTTGTTCTTTGTTTTACCAGGAGCCATATCTCTTGTCTTTGTCTAGGCAGTGATGTTACTGCTCACACGGCAGGAAGCAGAGGGGGAGCTTGCTGGCTTGCTTTGGGCTGTTTGCTGTCCCTGCAGGTCCCCCTGGCTGCTCCCCAGGGATGGATGCAGGATGGATGCAGGATGGATGCAGCCCTGCCGTTCCTGTCTGGGTGCTGCAGGCTGTGGTCCCTGCAGCTGCCCGGCTGTTCCAGCTCAGCAGTGTCCCAGTGTCACCTGGCAGAGCCTGTCCTGGCTGCAGCTCACGAGGAAAAGGTGCATGGGCCTCTGGAGCCCATTCCTTGCATCCCCTGCTGCTGCTCCCAGCCCTGTTGGCACTGGCAGCTTGCTGTGTAGGGAGAGCAGTGCCAGGGGTGCCAGCAGCAGGAGCATCCCATGGGCACGTGTGGGTTCCCAAAACTGCCCTGCCAACATCCCATGAACACACCTGGGCTCCCAAAACTGCCCTGCCAACATCCCATGGACACACCTGGCCTCCCAAAACTGCCCTGCCAACATCCCATGGACACACCTGGCCTCCCAAAACTGCCCTGCCAACATCCCATGGACACACGTGGGTTCCCAAAACCCTGCCCTGCCACCGTCCCCTGCCTGCAGGGACTGAGCCTGGCTCCTTGGGATCACACACAGGCTCTGGCCACTCTTGGGGCTGTGCTGGCACCACCTGCCCGTGGTTGGGGTTTTCCTGGTGGGACAGCTGGAATGAAACATCCATTTTACAGCAGATCCAGGCTTGGGGTGCATTAGCTCTGTGTGTGAGAGAACTCTCCCAGAGGAAATGGTGTGTGCTGGTGAAATGTGGGATGACAAAGCACTGGAAAATACATCCAAGGTATGTCTGTTATGAACAGGGCTGGACTCCTAGGGAAGGCAGCATAAAAGGAGGCACAAAAACAATTGAGGCTCAAATGGCCTCGTTAGTGTATTCTGTATTTGTGTAAGAACTGGATCCTCCCTGAGTCCAGCTTGCTGTGCTATATTTGCAATGAACTATTGGGTCTAATCCCAGTTGTGAGAGAAGAATGGCTTTTGTTGCCAAGCATATTTTCTCACTTGTCACAAATCAGTGGGGTGAAGCATATGTTAGAGGAGTGGCTGTCTCAGGCTGCCCGCGGGAGCATCCGTGACAGCACTGTTCTCCTGGATGGATAATTCGGATAATTCAGATAATTCAGCATGGTGGAGCAGCCCCCCTGGCCCAGCTGGGGGGTGGTGGGCTGCACCCCGGGCTCTGGGCTCGGCAGCAGGGCTTTGTCCTGCACCTTTCATCTCAGCCCGTTGCTAGAGAAACCTCTGCCTTTGTCTGTCCCTGTCTGAGCAGCCAGAGCTGGCTCTGGCCTGCCTGGGGAGGGGGTGTTGTGCCAAAACCCACATCTCCTGCAGCAGGAGATGCTGTTTGCAGGGGCCAGCCCCGGTCTGCAGCTGCTGGGCACGGCTGGGCAGGGCTCCCAGCCGGCTCTGCTGGCAGGGGCAGCACCAATCTCCACGGCTCCAGATTCCCCAAATCCCCACGGCTCCAGATTCCCCCAATCCCCAAATCCCCACGGCTCCAGATTCCCCAAATCCCCACGGCTCCAGATTCCCCCAAATCCCCACGGCTCCAGATTCCCCAAATCCCCACGGCTCCAGATTCCCCAAATCCCCACGGCTCCAGATTCCCCCAATCCCCAAATCCCCACGGCTCCCCCCAGTGCCCACGGCTCCAGGCTGGAGCACACTTGGCTCTCCTGGAGCTCTTCCCTTGGCTCTCCTCTCCTGTGTCAGTTTAGGCTCCAGCCTTTGCAAGTCTTAACTGTGCAGGATTTTCCTCTGCCTGCTTTTCCCCAGTGTTTGCCTGTGTAGAACTGGGTTTGTTTAATGATCCATCCTGAACTTCACGTGTTGCTGTCCATGAACTCTGCAGGATATCCTGCTGTCCTGGGGCTGGCTTCCATGGGGGCTGATGCCAGTTGAGGAGCCCAAGGTGAAGTTTTGGGGTTGGCTGCTGAAGAGAGGACTATCTAAAGTGGAAAACATAATTGGCAGCTGGTTGAAGGTTGGGATTCCAGGCCTGTGAATCCCCCTCAATGGACAGGAGGGATGCAGCACGGCTGCAGGCAGGGCAGGAGCTGTCCTGGGACCCTTGGAGCACTGAGCCATGTCCTCCTCTCTGCTGCCACGTCTGTCTTGGCACTGACGATGCCAGCAGCTTTTCATTCTATGTTCTACACAAACCCTTCCCATTTAGCATGCAGCAGCAGCCCTGGGGTCAGAGCCCGTGTCCACTGTTGGTGTGATGCCTTGTCTCTGGGTGGCTTTAGGGTCACAGCTGGCAGCTCCCTGTGCCCTCACATCCTGTCCTTTGCCTCTCCGTGCTGGGCTCCCACTGACCTGGCTGAACTCCTGCAAGGAAACTTAGAAGTGTCAAATCAACATGTTACAGGCATAGGAAAAACAAAGAAATTCTGTTGGCAAAGGTCAAAGTGTGCCAGGGACAGAGAGAGCTGGACTCCAGCAAACTGGGAACAGAGAGAACGAAGACTGAGGCACTGACAGCAGTTGTTGTGCGACCTCATTTGCAATTTAGTTTCCTTTGCTGCATTCTTTTAGCAGAGGATTTAACATTTAAAGGTATCTCTAACATTCTCTGTGGTGTGGGATTGTCCTTCCTTTTGGAGTTTCTACAGCTTGCTGTGAGTGAGAGCTGATGTCTGCATGTGTGTGTGCAGCAGATGCCCAGAGTCCCAGGGAAATCCCTGTGCCCAGCATCCCTGTGCCCGGGCATCCCTGTGCCTGGGCATCCCTGTGCCCGGGCATCCCTGTGCCCGGCATCCCTGTGCCCAGCATCCCTGTGCCCGGCATCCCTGTGCCCGGCATCCCTGTGCCCGGCATCCCTGTGCCCAGCATCCCTGTGCCCGGCATCCCTGTGCCCGGCATCCCTGTGCCCGGGTATCCCTGTGTTCAGCATCCCTGTGCCCGGGTATCCCTGTGTTCAGCATCCCTGCTCTGCCTCAGTCTCCCTCCTCTGTCAGGGCCCTTGGCTTCTCACCAGCCTCAGGTGAGCAAAGTGAAGAAAGCAGCTGCTTACAAACCCTAGGGAAAGGCAGAGGACATCTCTGTGCTGTTTATACATATTGATGTATATGTTTATGTATATTGGTTATACAGCTATCAGGAGCATTAAAGAGGCTGTTTCTGAAATGGTCACGAGTGCTGTGGCTGGTCTGGGCACTGTCCCGAGGGGAGGAAGGTGAAGGGTCTCCAGGTGAGCACCTGCTGCCTCACCTCTGCAGGGGCTGTGTGGTCCTGGGGAGCTCTGGGCTGCTCTCCCCATCCCCGAGGGCTCCGGGAACAGGGAAGCAGCTCATGGACCTGTCCCATCAGCTGAGCCCTGCCACCCAGCTCCTCTGATCCTCCTCAGATGTGTCTCTCCCTGTGTCTGAAGGTCCTTAGGGGAAAGCAAATAAACCAGGAACAGATGAAACCTCTGGTGTTTTTGAGCTGGGATTTGGAGGGTGTGAAAGACTTTTTAAGCCTTTGAGCCAAAGCTGGGTTGGATTTGTTGGTAAAGCCAGCAGTGCAGGGGGATGGGGTGAGGGAAGGCTGCATGGCAGTGCCAGCTTCCTTAGGGTCAGTGTTGGCCATCCTGGAGGTATTCACATGGACGTTTATCAAGAAATAATCCGTTAGTTTATATGAAATAGTGTATGATTTCAGGTGGTACCAGATAGATAGAAGTATCGTTTTCTGGTTGCAAAAGGCAGTTGAAAGCTCTGAGGTTGGTCTCAGTGTTGTAAGACTGTTTTGACAAAGAATAAGGTTTAATGTGAGGCTGCTCTGCTCTGTCGTGGGAAACAGATCCTTTGGCCTCGTGGAGCCCCGAGTTCACCCCAGGGCTGGGAGGGAGCTCCAGCAGAGCTGTGCTGTTTGCTCTGGACAAGGCAGGGCCTTCCTGCAGTGTGTGTAGCTGATGTGTGCTGCTGTTTGTGCTGTCCTGTCCCTGCAGAGATCCGCACTCAGCTGGTGGAGCAGCTGAAATGCCTGGAGCAGCAGTCGGAGTCGCGGCTGCAGCTGCTGCAGGACCTGCAGGAATTCTTCCGCAGGAAGGCTGAGATCGAGCTCGAGTACTCCCGCAGCCTGGAGAAGCTGGCCGAGCGCTTCTCCTCCAAGATCCGCAGCTCCAGAGAGCACCAGTTCAAGTAAGTGCCAGTTCCCAGGGGCAGGCTGCTGTGAAACCATGGGTGGAGGTTGCTGGGAGCACTGGAGGGTGGTGTGGGACAGCCCAGTCCATGGGGGGCAGCCCAGTCCATGGGGACAGCCCAGTCCATGGGGACAGCCCAGTCCATAGGGGGCATCCCAGTCCATGGGGACAGCCCAGTCCACTGGGGGCATCCCAGTCCATGGGGACAGCCCAATCCATGGGGGACAGCCCAGTCCATGGGGGCATCCCAGTCCATGGGGGACAGCCCAGTCCATGGGGGGCAGCCCAGTCCATGGGGACAGCCCAGTCCATTGGGGGACATCCCAGTCCATAGGGACAGCAGTGACCTCGTGTGTCCCATCCCTGTGTGGGGCTCACAGGAGGACCTGGATGTGCCTTTTTCCAAGATTTCCACCACAGCATCACTGACCTGTGCTGAGTGGAGTTCACTTCCTGCACACTTCTTGAGCAATACAATGAAAATAGGAACTGGGGGCTAGGAAGGAGCCAAATTTGTGGATTTTTTGAAGGCTCTTGAATTGAGCCATGATTTAATTGTGCACACAGTTGTGGGGCTGGTCTGTACTCTGGTTTCTGTGTGTAGCCCAGTCCTCAGCTATCCAGGTGCTGTGTGTTTCGTGCAGGCTCACTGGCAGGCTCAGGCTTGGAAGCAGTTTCTGGAAATGGAGTTTACTGCACTTTATTTGCAGTAAGGCATGTGTTTTTTCTGTGCTTAGCTATGTGGTGTTGGAGGGAGGCAGATCCTTAGTGGAAATATTGTGAAACAAAACTTTGAAGTAGGAAATATGAACTCAGTCCTGGGATTGTGTGAGAATCAAACCAGTGATGCAATTGTGAAATCCATGAATATGTAAATACATGTTTTTAAAAGTAGCTTACTTTCAGTTTAACCACATTTGGCTAAAACAGAAAATGTCTTAAAAAAACAGAAAGAAAAACAAACTTGGCTCAGAATTTCAGTTTGGAGGTGACTGCTCTGGGGTGAGGATGGCTTGTGCCGTTCTGCTGGCAGTGACCTCAGGGCTCTCTGGAGGCCACTGGCCACTGCAGCTGGGGGCTGGTCCCTGTGTGTGTGCCAGGCCAGAGGTGTCTGCCTGGGCTCTGGGGGGTCACCCTTGGGTGCTCGTGGCCGCTGTGGGTTGTTGTGTCCCCTGTCACAGCCGGCAGTGCCGGGGACGCGGGTCTCGCTGGGCAGCGTGAGCTGTGCCCAGAACAATCTGTGCCCTGTGTGCCCTGGGGATGTGTGCCCTGTGCCCAGAGCAGTCTGTGCCCTGTGCCCAGAACAATCTGTGCCCTGGGGATGTGTGCCCTGTGCCCTGTGTGCCCTGGGGATGTGTGCCCTGTGCCCAGAGCAGTCTGTGCCCTGGGGATGTGTGCCCTGTGACCAGAACAATCTGTGCCCTGTGTGCCCTGGGGATGTGTGCCTTGTGCCCAGAGCAGTCTGTGCCCTGGGGATGTGTGCCCTGTGCCCTGTGTGCCCTGGGGATGTGTGCCCTGTGCCCAGAGCAATCTGTGCCCTGGGGATGTGTGCCCTGTGTGCCCTGGGGATGTGTGCCCTGTGCCCAGAGCAATCTGTGCCCTGGGGATGTGTGCCCTGTGCCCAGAGCAGTGTGTGCCCTGTGACCAGCAGGATATGTACCCTGTGACCAGAACAATCTGTGCCCTTTGCCCAGAGCAGTCTGTGCCCAGAGCAGTCTGTGCCCTGTGTGCCCTGGGGATGTGTGCCCTTTGCCTAGAACAATCTGTGCCCTGGGGATGTGTGCCCTGTGCCCAGAGCAGTCTGTGCCCTGTGTGCCCTGGGGATGTGTGCCCTTTGCCTAGAACAATCTGTGCCCTGTGCCCAGAGCAGTCTGTGCCCAGAGCAATCTATGCCCTGGGGATGTGTGCCCTGTGACCAGCAGGATATGTGCCCTGTGACCAGAACAATCTGTGCCCTGGGGATGTGTGCCCTGTATGCCCTGTGACTAGAACAATCTGTGCCCTGTGCCCAGCAGGGGCTGTTCTGGCCCAGGCTGTGCCCCAGGGCCATGTGGCAGCACTGGCACCCAGTGCTGGTCCTGGCTGCTCTCCTTGCAGCTCCTCAGCCTGATCTCTCCACCTTTGCTCCCTGGGCCACCGTGTTTGTCCCTGTCCCTTCTGCCAGTGCTATCTGTGACAGTCTCTGAGCTGGAGCTGTGCCCTTTGTTCCAGATGAAACTCTTGTAGTTCAGTTCAGTGGCCAAAGGCTGCAGCTGCTCTTCAGTGCCTGTCCCAGAGCCTGGGCTTTGCCTGCTTGCTGCCCTTCTCCTCCCCAGCCCCAGGCTCTTCACAGTCTGTTTCTTCCTCTAAACCCTGGAGATTTTTTTCCTGTTTCAGCTGCAAGAGCAGTGATTTTTGCTGTTACATTACTAAATCCTATTTATTCCATATTACTAAATCCCATTTAATCTGTTTACTTGGTCTCTCCAGTGTGAGGCTTTACTGCTGCCTTTGCCAAGCTCTGCTGCTGAGTTGCTGTTCAGATCCTCTCTGTCCTTTTGGCGTCTGACTGTTGTGTGTTGGTTGTGTGCTGCTGGATGCTGCAGGGAGTTGAAGGGATTGGCCAGTAAGGAGCCCTGGCTCAGAGATGGAGCCCACAGAGGTTCAGGGGGTGTCTGACCTCACCCATTAGCTCACAGCAGTATTAGTGTTAGCATTTCTACAGTTCTAGAAGCTGCTGCTGTGCAGTGTCCACAGGTGACAAGTGGCTCTCCCTGTTCTGAAGGAACTGGGCACGAGTGCTGGTGCTAATCGGGTCAGCTGGGTCCTCACTGTCCATTCCACATCCAGAGACTCCCTGAATTCATTTCCTTCCTCCAGACTGCTCAGTACCTGCCCTCACCAGGCTGACCTGCAGCGTTTCCCCAGCTGCCCGTGTGTGCCATTATTGTGATGAGGCTGTGACACTCAGCATTTGCAGTCCCTTCAGCTCCTTTGTCCCTGTGTGGCCACGTGCAGCAGGCTGTGCCCAGCCCTGGCTCGGGCAATGTCTGTGCTGCCTCCAGGGCCACGACTCGTGCTGGTTTGTCTGTGTGTGCCTGCAGAGGTGTCCACGCTGTCCCCTCAGCACACCTGAGAGTGTTCATGTTGTGCACAGTCACTCTGGGGTCACGTTGGGTGCAGAGCCCTTTCGTGAGCAGTTTTTAGTGGACTGGGAGCAGCACAGTGCACTGGTGGCAAAGGGCCCTTGTGCAGTGCAGTGACAGCTGCATCCACGGTGTGAGTGGTGACAATGAGCAGAGCTCTGTCCCTGGGCAGGGATGTCTCTGCTCCTGAGCCCTGTCCCAGAGCACCCCGTTTGGGAAGGGGCTGGCTGGGGCTGGGCTGTCCGTGTGCCCTGGATGTCCCTGTGTGCCAGTGCTGGTACAGCTGCAAGCAGAGGTCACACCGCAAATCCCAGTGACTGTGCACGGCAGGGAGGGGATGTGCTCATTGGAAAATGTGTGCCTTTGTGACCTTCTTGGGTTCTTTTCCACAATTGTCTAGGAAAGACCAGCACCTCCTTTCCCCTGTGAACTGCTGGTACCTGGTCCTGACACAGACCCGTCGGGAGAGCCGAGACCACGCCACGCTCAACGACATCTTCATGAACAATGTCATCGTGAGGCTGTCCCAGATCAGTGAGGATGTCATCAGGCTCTTCAAAAAGGTGACCTGGGCAGCCTTGCTTCACGGGCACCCACCCTGGAATTTCAGTCTAAAACAGAGTTGTCATAAATGCTGCAGAGCAAATCTTGCGAGGCACTATCAGTAAAAGTCTCTCCAGGTCGTGTTTATCCTGGAGTTTTACAGAAACTGAGACCTAGACCTGTCAAGTCTGGAGTGTGAGGTGGGACCTGGTGCTCAAAGTGCCAGTGCCAGAGAAGTGAGGGGTGCAAATGTGGCGACTTTTCTTGGAGGGGTTCAGAGAACAGAAGAGAATAGGCTTGTTGGGTGGGACCTGCTCAAGGGCAGGATGGCAGCTGTGAGGCAGGTACAGGAAAGGAGTCAGTGTGGCCTCCTGAAGGGCAGAGTCATGCCCTAGAAATCCAGGGGAGGTATTTCCAGGAGCCAGAGATCATGTCATTATCTGGTGCAGGGAATATCATGTCATTAGCTTCACTGGAAAAGGGACTTAGCTGAAATTCTTGAATTGCTCTTAAAGAGAGGGGTTGTTTTCCAGATTAATGATTAGTTAAAAGAGAGGAAAAAAGGGAAGGAGAGTTCCAATGCAGTTCCTAATAAATTATTTGGAAAAAACCTGAATAGTAAGATGACAAAATTTGCTGATGATACAGAATTATTAATGATGACCAAATTAAAAAAGAGCAGGAGAGACTTCTGAGAATCACAGTCAGGTGGATCAGGACTGTTCATTGGGGATGAGGAGTGTGTAAGAGCACAGAGTCCCAGCAGAGGGTGGGCTCTGTGACCTTGTTTTCATCTGGGGACTGTAGTGAGGGAGCAGGTGAGCCACAGGCACCTGCCTCTCCAGCAGGAGAACCTTCATGATCAGGGCTTGTCTTGAAATTTCAGCCTGACTGGAGAAGAAATTTCATATGATATTTTTATGGCCAGTTTCCTCTAGTTTATAGATCTGACCTAGAAATTAAACTGCACTGGGTTTGTGATGGCTGATTTGATGTGGGATATCATGGCTTTTCCTGTTCTCCTGCCCTCCAGAAATGGACATATTTGGTATATGTTGTTTAGTCCAGTTCTGTCTCAAAATGTTCCTCCCATTTGCATTTTGCTCTGAACTGTTTATTGAGATTTATATTTAAACTATCCTTCTGCTTTCCCTGCCCCTGTCTGTGGATGGTGTGTCTCATTTGGAAACCCAGGAAGAATTCAGCCAGCTTGCAAACAAGGACACACATTCAGAGTTCTGAGTGTTCTCCTGTTGTATGTCAATCCTCAGCCAGGACAGGATGGTGAAGTATTTCATCCATTCAGCAGAATTATTTCTTTGTGTTTGGTGTTGTTCCATCTCCCCTCATGTTTGAACTTAAATTTCACCTTCTAAGGCTCAACATTTAAATTTGATAGAACTGGTTGCTCCTTGTTTCTCTGTCCTCCATCTCCTGCCAGGAGAGCTGCTGTGGCTCTGTGTGCAGCCTGCCAGAGCCAGCACCTTTGCAGTTGTGGGCATCTGTGATTTCACTGTGTCTGTGTTTGCTCCTTGGACTTACCTGTCCCTGGGAATAATGTTCAGCTAAACCAGGGAAAGCACTTACTGTGTGTCAATGTTTGCCTTTCATGTGGACAGGGAGGCTGCCACTTTTGGGCATATTCAGGTTATTTATTTTTCTCAACCTGTGGCACGCCTTGTCTGAAGGGATGTGAGGCTGCACTTGCAGCAGTGCTCAGTGGGAACCTGGGGCTGCAGGGTGCAGCAGGAGCATGGCCCAGCCGTGTGAGGCTGCTCAGAGGAGGGAATCTTTCACTGTGCTGTCCAGTCTGGCTTGGAGTGTGGTGGGTGAAGAGCTCCAAGCCCCCCTCCAGGCCCAGGCTGTGCAGGCTGCTGGCAGATAACCCAGCTGCAGAAGGGTTAAAGCACCCACACTCGTGCTTCAGCTGCTGGGTGTGCTGCAGATTGCTCTTTGATGGTAAATTAGGGTAACGGTTTTTTCCCAGAAATGTCACGTTTAATTCTTCCCATCTAGAGTTTATTAATGGCCTGTGACACGCTGTGGGGACATAAGGAACCAGGAGGTTTTGTGTTTGCTGCATTCATTATGTAAATGTAAACAATCCCAGCAGGGAGGGCTCAGGGGTGCAGGATGAGCAGAACTAAGGAGCAATTGCTCAGCAGGTGGGAATGTGCCTGGAAAGGTGTGGGGTGCTGGGCTGGGCTTCCCTGGGGGAGCCTGGCAGTGCTGGGGTCACCCATCACTGCACCAGGCACTGGGGTTTGTTCCTGCCCCCCCAGCCAGCAGCAGCTCCAGCCCCTCCTCTGTGTGTGCTGGGAGCCCTTCCAAGCCAAACCATTCTGTGATTGTGTGAGGAAAGCAGCAGAAGAAATCTCAGCTGGGCAGATTTCCCTGGAGCTCCCAGCACGAGTCCATGGAGAGATGGAGGCCAGCGTGTTGATGCTGCTGGTAGGAAATGGAGATGCTGAGGTGTGTCCCTGCAGGGATCTGCCTCACTCTGCTGTCACTGGCTCCCTGAAAGCTCACAGTGTGTCCTGGCACACCCAAAGCAGGGTGAGGGACCCATTGCCAGCCCGGTGTGTGCTCCACTCCCACCTCTGCTGGGGCAGAGGGAAGGAAGGCTGATGCTTCTTCCAGGTATGGATACAGGAAATTGCACATTTGAGACACAGCATTGCTATGTCCAAAATAAGGGTGCTGGGTTATTCCCCAGCGTGGGATTTAATTATGTGCTGTGACAGTGAATTTAATTACAGCCCGTGCTGCATTGTCCTGGATGCAGGTTGGATGAAGAAGCTCTGGATGGGAGCTCTTGTTTTGTCTTTAGAATAAATATTCTCTGTTGCCAGTCATCCATGCTGCTGCTTCCCACACTTTGTCAGCAGTGGCAGGATTTTTAATAAATTGCTAACTTGAAGACATTGCTGTCTCAGTGAACAACTGTGGGTTTTAGGAGGAATGTGAGGCATAAAGGAGGCAGCTAAATTGTAGTTTGGGTTTGTGGATGGTGCCAGGGAACTGGAATGATGTTTTGGTGTTGTCTCCTGTAAGCACACAAATATAATTTCTTGGAGGACAGGCAAGTCCTTCAGCTGCTTGGCAGAGGCTCCATCATGCTCAGTGTGGGCACTGCTCTTTTGGAGGCTGGAGCCTCCCAGCCATGTCCCAGAGCCCCTGGCTGCCTGCAGCAGGGCCAGCTGTGGGGTTTTGTGTCTGGGAGCCAGTGGCTCTTTACCTGTGCAGGTGTACCCCAGGGAACCCTGCCCCTGGCTCATGGCCTCTGTGGCTACTGGGTGGGACTTTGACCCTTCAGACTCCTTGCTTCAGGCTTTGTTTTAGGTCCAACTTCTAATGATCTGGATTAAACTTTCAGGGTATGCAGGTTGTCCCATGGACTGCAGTTAGAAGATCTTTCAGTGTCAGGGGCTCCTCTCATCACCCAGCCTGGTGGAATGTTGTTTTCCCTGCCCACGTGCACAAAACTTCCTGGAGTTATTTGAGGAAATCTGGAAGAAACTGCTCAGTTTTGTTTTGGTTTGGTTTAGGGGAGGGAGGAGGGGGGTGTCTATACTTAGTTTAAACACATCTTCAAGCCATAATAAGTATTTCCTAGCCAAGAAGATTCCAGGGAGAGATTTGTGGTGTAATTGCAGGGAAGCAGGGCCAGCCCATCCCAGCACCTCCAGCTGCAGGGGTGCAGCAGGAGCTGGTTTGATCTGCAGTGCTGGGCAGCTCCCCGTGCTCTGGCCCCTCCATGCAGGGCTGTGTCCCTGCTCTGGGAGGCTGGTGGCTGCCTCTGCCTCGTCCTGCTGGCAAGGGAAGGGAAAACACAGGGATAATGGGATTTCAGCAGACAGGAGCGTGCCAGGAGTTCCTCACTGGCAGCGAGTGTCTCCTCAGCTGGCTGAACTTTGGCTGCTGCTGTTGTGAAACTGGAAACTTTATTATATAACTGTGGTGTAGCTATTTTGTAATGCCCTTTTTCAGAGATGCTTTGGGTGACTCAGTTCAGTCAGAATAGTGAAAATGAGCTACTGAGGAGAAGCTGGGGGTGGGTGGGTCATGGCCAAGGGAAATGTGAATCTGGGATGCCAGAGCTGGGGAGCCCTGATAGTCTTTGCTCTGAAATACCAATATTGGCTGGAAATCTCAGATCCAGCAGCAGATGTGTTTAATCACAGAGCAGCAGAGAGTTTCAGATCAAGACAGGTGGACAGGTGATGCTGTGGGGCTGGAGACTGCCAATCCAGGGAGCTGCAAACCCACAAATGGCTACTGGATGATAGCCAGTCCCCAAACTGGGGGAGTGTTGTGTGTTATACCCAAATGGGGAGTTGGCTGGGGGCTGGGAATGAGTTCTACCAGTGGAAGGACAAAGCACTATTGCCTGTAATTTTAGATTGATCTGTTTTGCAGGATAAATAAGTTAAATGATGTGAAATTCCTCCTCATGATCTCTGAAACCCAGGTTGGGTGGTCCATGGGCAAGCACCAACCTCAAATGAACACACAGCAGTTCTGAAACTGCAGGAGACTGTGCTGCATATTCACATTTATGATTCCTCTGAAATGTATTTTCCTTTTAGAACTGCACGTTTTGAGCATAACAATCTCACCTCTTCTTGTTTTTGTCCTGCAGAGCAAGGAGATTGGTCTCCAGATGCACGAGGAGCTGCAGAAGGTCACCAATGAGCTGTACACGGTGAGCTGGGGCTGATGCCCCATTCCTGCTGGGCACAGGCACTGGCAGAGCCTCTGAGGAGGCTGTGCCTGGCTCCTGCAGCCTGGCCCTTCCCTCCCTCCATGCTCCCTGGGGCTGCTCCCTGGGGTGGTGGCAGTGCTGGCATGTCCCGAGGCCAAGGGCTGGCTCTCAGCTGCTTCCCTTGGCCGTGCTGGGGGTGTTGGGGGTATTTGGGGTGGTCCAGGGTGCTCCCTGTGCCTGTGATGCTCCCACACCTCTGTTACCTTTTGGCCCTGCCCAGGCTCTGAGCTGTGCTTGTTTATTCAGACACCTCCCTGCTCCTGGGAGCCGTGCCTGGGGCTTGGCTGGACATCACCTTCTGCTGGGAATGCAGAACCTTCTGCCTGGGAGGGCTCAGCTCTGTCTGTGGCCTGAGGAGCACCTGGGCTGCAGAGCTGTCTGTGCCCCCCAGTGACACCATGTGCTCTTAGTCAGGACATGCCTCTCCAAGCAGGTTTGCATTGCAGGCTACTAAAAGTCTTTGTGTTGCTGCTGCCTCTTGCCCTGTAGCAAGTGGTTTTTAAAAATTTATTTTATTTGTGGTTTAGGAGCAACAAAACCATATAAAGCCTGCCTTTTGTTGGCAAATTGAGATATAATATATTTGCTTTCTTTTCTTGTATCTGTAACTGGTACATAAATAATACTGCAGTAGGTTTATTTCTAAGCAATCATTCTATTTCATCTTTTTGAAAAACAGGCCTAAACAACATAGCATGAATGATTGTGTTTGAAATTTCTGCCATAAATCTCCTCTTAACAGGTTTGTTCCTGCATTGGCTGTTGAAGGATTTGATTGTTGTGAGACCTGCAGTGTGGGTGGACAGCAGATCAGATTAAAAAGCTTGTGTGAGATTTGGGAGTGCATTGTTGATGGTTGAATGTCACAAGCTGCGTTAGGGGTGGTGACTAATTAAGATTAATTACAGCAGCAGCACGACAGATGCAAACCAAGGAAAGGCTAACAGGGGCTGGGCTGACCTGGACTGCTCTGACCAGTGTGCTCTGAGCCCAGCCAGGGGCCAGGGCCATCCCCCAGGGACACACTGGGGTCACTGGGGGGCTCAGAGTGCCCAGGGAGGAGCACACTGGGCAATTCTGCTCGTCCTCACAGAACTGAGATTCCTCCCATCCACTGCTGTGCTCCCTGTGCTGAGCAAATGGGCTGGAATGGTGAAGCAGACTGGTTGGAATGGTGAAACTGGAGCAGCTGGAGGAGCTGTGTGTTTGTGTTCAGCCCTGCTGCTGGGATAACACACAGGCTGTGTCACCCATGGAGCAGGGCAGGGACACACGGGGTTCAAAAGCACAAAATAAAATCCTGTGGGCACTCAGGGTCACCTCACGTGGGCTTGGTGCCAGCAGCTCCTGCTGGTCACAGAGTGGTGCCCGGGTGTCCCCTGGCTCAGGGGTGCTGGGGACACCTTTGGGGCTGAGCTGCTGCTGTGTCCTGGGCAGCACAGGAGCTGTGGCTGCTGGCAAAGCCAGGCTCAGGAGCAGGGCCTGGCTCACAGGACACCAGGCTGCTGCTTCTGCAGAAATGTCCCTTGGCTGCTGTCAGCACTGGGAAGTCGATTTTCCTGCCTCTGGCCAGGCCTTTACCACAGCTCATCCATGCCCTGGCAAGGTTGGTTTTTAAGCCTCTCTGAGGGGAATTCTGTGCACTGGGTGGAAACTACAGGTTTTTTTCAGGCTGCTCAGGCATGCACTGTCTCAAACTGAAGCCAAAACAACCACATTGATTTTAACTCAGCCTTGTGGCTGTTCTGATGCAAGTCACCCTGTGGACTCTGTATGCAGAGAACCAAAGCCACACTGATTTTAATCAAAACAGAAGTGATGACTTTCATTCTGAAGTGGAGATGCTTGTGAATGGTTTTGTGCAGAAATAGTTCAGCTTTGTTCCTTTGGTTGCTCCTTATGGATTCCAGCAGAGAGGCACCAGCTGGAGCTGGTGAAGGTAAAGGCTGAGGGGACCTGAGCCTGTGCCTGACACGGCCACCCCATTTCTGCTCTGGCTCCTCTGCTGGGTCAGAGCCTTGGGGATGAGCTGTGGAGGAGAACAAAGCCCTTGGAGCTGCACACTGCCAGCAGTGCCATTTACAGGCAGTATTTTGGCAACAGCCTTTATCCAGAACATGTAATTAATATGGAAAACACAACTCGTGTTGTTAAATAACTAATGAACATTGGAACATATTTTTCCTCCTTGGCTGCAGCTAATGAACTGATTTGCAGGAAGGATCCCTGGGACACAGCTGTGGCAGTTTGTCTTTGTGTCACAGCAATGCAGGCCAGGGACAGTGGGATTTGATTGCAGGCACCGAGATGGCACGAGGGAATTGCAGATCAGGGGCTGATTGCTGCACTGCAGCTTGGCCCCGGCCAAAATTAAGGGAGGAATTAAACAGAAATATCCTGTGAATTTCCAGGAGGGAGCTGTGTGGCAGGGCAGCTGGTGAGGAGCACAGTGAGCTGTTTAAGGTGTCTGTTTTGGTTGGGTAACTGTCCCACGACCTTTAGACTTCACAAAAATCCTGCAATTTAGACCTCTGTTACTCGTTGGACTTCTCTGTCATGTTGTGTCAGGGCCTGAGTGCTGCAGAAACCTTTCCTCTTACTGCCTGAAGCCCTGGTATGCAGCACTTGGCTTTTTCACTTCCCTCTGTGTGTTCCACAAAAAGATGTAGGTGGTGAGGATGAGGAGGGCTCAGTGGAACCCTCTGGTCTTTCTCTTTAAGAAAACCCCAGGAATCATCTGGTTTATGTGTGTCCTGTGACATTCACTGCAGAAAAGGCAGTTTGAAATACGTGGCTGGAATCTGTGCTAAGGATTTGCAGCGTTTGGAAATGCAGCAGGAGCCTTTGCTCACTGCCCCTTGCCTGTGCCTGCAGTGGGATGGGATGGGGTGGGATGGGATGGGGTGGGATGTCCCTGCAGTGGGATGGGATGGGATGGGATGTCCCTGCAGTGGGATGGGATGGGATGGGATGTCCCTGCAGTGGGATGGGATGGGATGGGATGTCCCTGCAGTGGGATGGGGTGGGATGTCCCTGCAGTGGATCTCCCTGCAATGGCAGGTTTGTGGATGCAGCACTGGGAGCCTGCAGCAGCTGAGGGTTGTGCTTGGCAGGAGGAGGGATCATGTGGCTCAGCCTGACCTGCTCCAAGTCAAACACTCCTGCTGACAGCTGCAGCTGAGGAAACTCTGTGTTTTCTTCATTAAGCCGTGTGTAAAAATGCCCTGCATTTGTAGTTCCTGCTCTGTGTTAACCCTTGGGCCTCAGGCAGCCCATTCCAGTGTGTCCCAGCATGTCCCAGTGTGTCCCAGCATGTCCCAGTGTGTCCCAGGCTGCAGGTCCCAGCCCTGCTGAGGCTGAAGGCACTGAGCAGTTGTGCACTGTGGGCTGTGTCAAGGCAATGTGAAATAAATCATCCACATCCCAAAGGGAGATGATAGAAGGGGACAGTGTGACTAAAGGCATAAAGAGAGAGGAGCAGATGTGTCCCTCTTGCCAGCTCTGTTAAAATGATGCAGCGTGCCCTTTGGGCTCTTGTTTCTGAAAGGGAAGGTTGTGGTGGAAGTTTTGCCTGTGAGTGTTCCAGGATCAGCATCATCTCTCCTGGCTCTGCAGTGAGAAGGACAAGGAGCTGCTGCACCTCTCCTGGCACTGCCTGTGCCTGCTGGCAGCAGCAAGGGGGGCAGCAGGTGGTGACAGGAGCCAAACCCCATTTCTGCCTGGGAACTGCAGCTGCTCCACTTCTGGATGGTTCTGCTGTCTGAATGGCAGAGCAGGGGGTGTGTGATGGCTCAGCAAGTCCCAGGGCAGGAGCAGAGGGTCAGAAGGGAGTTCAGGGTGACTGTGGCCTCCCTCACAGACCCTTATCCCAAGTGCAGAGCTCTGAGGTTGTTCTTTATTTCCCTGTTGGAGGGCATGCAGTGCTCTGTGACTGCAGCTGTGTGCTGGATCACGTCCCCACAGTGGGACCGAGTGTCACCACAGTTCTTACACCAGCCTGGGGCCTCTAGAAATAGGGCTGGGGTGGGATGAATCTCTCAGGCTTTCCTCCCCACTTTGTCCCTTAGTGCCCCAGTGCCCCCTTGCCCTGCCCAGGGCTGCTGTTGTGTCGTGCTGTGGGTCACCAGGAGAAGGTGGCTCATGACCTCCTGTGCCTGCAGGTGATGAAGACCTACCACATGTACCATGCAGAGAGCATCAGTGCTGAGAGCAAGCTGAAGGAGGCAGAGAAGCAGGAGGAGAAGCAGTTCAACAAGTCGGGGGACATCAGTGTGAACCTGCTGCGACACGAGGAGCGGCCACAGCGGCGCAGCTCCGTCAAGAAAATTGAGAAGATGAAGGAGAAGGTGGGTGAGGGGGAAGGAGGAGGAGCTGGGCTGGGGCTCCCTGGGGCAGCAGGGCTTGGCTCCAGCCTTGTCTCTGTCTGGGAGGCCGTTCCTGTGTCCTGGGGAGGGTTTGGGAAGGCTGGTGTGCATGTTCTGCTGGGAGACCATCACAAGGGTGGAGAAGGGCCAGGAGCAGCTCCTGGAGCTGGATGGACTCAGAGTGAGGATGGCAGGACAGGGATGGGCAGTGCAGCCCCGGACAGGGTGCTGGACCTGCACAGGAGCCACGGGGCCACCCGTGGCCCCTTCCTGGCTGTGACTCTGCAGGGAGAGCTGAGACAGGCAGCTGGAGGGGCCTTGGATGGCTCCTGGGACAGGGAGGGGTGGTGGGGACCTGGCTGTGCCAGCTGGGACCTGAGAGGCCCCAGGGAGGGCTGGGCACCAGGATTGGTGTGGTGATGGATCCTGGCGTGGGCACCAGCCCCTGCTCTGGGAGACTGGAGTTTGTGGTGTGTTCTTTAAAGATGTGCTTTTAAAAACGAGCAACAGCCTTGGATTCACTCAGGAACTGACTCCTGGTTGTGAAAAAATAGCTGGATCTATAAAATACCAGTGTTCTTCCTCTGTAGAGTGTCTGGGAGTGAGAGTGCACTATTTAGATGGATTTGCTAAGCAAAACACTTTGTGCCATTCTGGCCTCAGCAAATCTCCCAGGTCTCAGGATCTCCTCAAGATTTTATGTTAATTTTGGAGAAAAGGAGAGAGCTTCCCCAGCAGGATGCAGTTGCTTGCTGGTGCACCCAGCCCTGGGACATTTCTAACTGTGAACTTCTGACAAGGGTTAATCTTTTGATTCAGCCTTCAGAGCAGGGATCTGCCTGAGCAGATGTCCCAGATCTGGAGCACATCTGCTTTCCTACAGTTTTGAATTCTGGGTCCTGTTCTGAGTTGTGTAGCTTGGGCCTCTGGGCCAGATTCCACTTTGATACAGCTGCACACATCTGGAGCAAGTCCAAACATATGTCAGCATTTCTGGGGGGGAAATTTGGCCCTCTGGTTTTGACTGAAGCCAAAATCCCCAGCAGCAGCTGTGCTCAGAGTTCCAAGTAGCTGTGGGCAGGATGCACTCATCGTGGCTGGCTGACAGTGTGAGGGCTGCTCAGATGGGATCTCCTCCACCCTGGCAAGGTCCCTGTTTTCATACCAGACACCAACTTTGGTAATTACCTCGTCACAGCCAGGCTGCAGGGTGCCGTGGGGCTCTGTGGCAGGAGAAACTGTGCCAGTGCCATCCTGTTTGTGCTCTGACACTGCATTCTGCTTTTTCAGAGACAAGCCAAGTATTCTGAGAACAAGCTGAAGTGTACAAAGCCAGGAACGACTACCTGCTGAACCTGGCAGCCACCAACGCCGCCGTCAGCAAATATTACATCCACGACGTGTCCGACCTCATCGACGTGAGTCTGCCTGTGCCAGAGCCTGCCTGAGCTCTGAGCTGCCCTGCTGTGCCCTGCTGTGCCCTGCCCTCCTGTGCTGCTGTCTGGGGGGGCTTTAGGGTATTCTTTACTGGGGCTGAAGGTGTCCTGTGCATTGGATTTGCCTTGGGGTGAGCCAGGTGATGCTGAGCTTTCTTCTTGGCCCTTTGGTCAGTCTGTGTTTGAGACAGGGAATGCTTCCCAAGGTCAGACACGGCCTTGGTTTTGGTGCTGGAACAGAGGGGTTTTTTCTTTCTGTTATTGGTGACTCTGGTGGTGGTTCAGGACTGGTGGCAGTGCTGTCCTGGCTGGGGAAGGCACCTGCAGGGCTCTGTCCTGGTGCTCCTTGCAGGAAATGGCTGAGGGCAGGAGCTGAGCCCTGGGGACTCCTGCAGACTGCTGGGAGGTGATTGAGAGAAGGGATTCACCCAGAGAAGGGATTTCTGCTTCTTCCTTTAACGGGCATCCCACAGCGTGTAGATTGCACAGTGCAGGTTCTTCCTGCTGGAGTTGCCTCAGTAAGTGCATAAATAGCTGAGCTTGAGGCACTGAGTTACCATCATTACCTGAATGTACAATTTAAAAAGCTGCTTAAGTGTTTACCTCCTTTCCTAGCTCATTAGCATGTGGTTACACTTCTGAGAATTAAAGTAAGTCTGATGCAAAACCCCTGATGACTTCAAGATTTTGATACACGATAAAATACTTTTCATTATGTCCCTTTTGTTCTCTTTGTTATTGAAGATGTGTTAAAAAACAAATAAGTTGATTGTGGAGACATTTGAATGATGAGGTGTGAGAGCATCTTGATTTCTCTGCAGGCTTTCTGCTTTTATGGTGTATATTCCCTCTTTCTTTTGTTTAATTACTTTTTAAGCAAGAAGACTTACTTCTGTGGAGTTTTTTGAACTTTGATTTTCTGGAGGTTTGCTGAGTTCCATTTTAGCTCTGTCTGTTTATGTTATTCTTCCCAAGTTTTATTTCCTCCCTGACACTTCCACTGGAGTCAGCAGATGGCATTTCTCCTGCACTCCAGGATCCCTTCAGGGACTTCAGCTAAAGCATCTTTATCGTGGAGCAGTGAAATTTCCCCGATTATAAATTCTATTCACCAAAGGAACAAAGTCTTGGATGTGTGAGCTGAGGCTGTCCTGTATCCTCAAAGGCAGAGCAGTTGATGTGAGCAGGCTTTTTTACGAGCTCAGTGTATTTTGCAGGGGCGAGGCAAGCAGGGCTCCAGGAGGAATGAGCCCAGTGGTGCTGGAGGGCTCTGTGCAGGACGGCTGGGCCCTTTGGGGACAGCAGAGCCCAGCTGGCTGCCCTGGCTCCTGCACCCTGCTCCAGCCGGGAATGGTGAGGGGTGCCCGGGCTGGGACACGGGGGGGTCACACGGCCTCCATCTCCAGCACTAATTCAGCTGCTGATGTCACACAAACCTGACCCTGCACAGCCACTTCACCCCAAATTTCCCGTGTTTCCCCAAGCCCCAGTGCCTCAGGGGCATCTCCTAGGCACAGCCTGGGCATCACTGGCTGGGGACAAAGCCGTGCTGCTCTGGCAGGGTGGGAGCCCTCCCGGGCTGCGCCTAATGGCAGCTAAAGCCCATCAGAGGAGCTGTCTGCCCTGGTCTCCAGTGGCCTTGTGTTTTGTCCTGGAAGGGAAGGGAAGAATACAGACACAGATCAAATTATCCTTGGGCTGGCTGTGCCCCTTGGGGCCTCCTCCTCCTCCTCGGGTGACACGTGCATCTCTTTAAACGCTGCGCTTCTCTTCTTTCTGTCATTAACTCTGTCACCAAGTTAATCTTTTTGGCCATGTATGTGAAGAGGAGATAAAGCTCCTTATCCATCCCTCTGGAGTTCTGTGGGAAATGGCTGCAAGGTAGTTTGAAGTGGTCACATGAAAGATCTCACTGGATTGAGCAGAGAAAATGGAACAGTCAGTGACCATACAAACTGATCTGGCAAAACGTGTGCAGCCCCTCTGAGTCCTTCTCCAACAGCAGCTTCCCTCAGGATTAGTGTTTGCTGAATGTGAGACAAACAAGGAGGGGAACTCTGAGGAAATTCAGCATTACATGGAGCTGTCAAATTGCTTGGTCCCTGGAAAAATTAGCTGAGTCAAGTTAGGGAGCAGAAACAGCAGTTGAAATAGTTATGCCAAAAATCCTCAGTTGGCTTTACTGGCCTGGTTGAACAGGGCTTGGAGCAACCTGGGCTAGTGGAAGGTGTCCCTGATCATGGCAGGGTAGTTGAAATTGGATAATCTTTAAGGTCTCTCCCAACAGAAACCATTCTGGGATTCTGTGATTTTACTTGCTGCTCAGCACAGCTCTGGGTTTTGAGGCAGCATCAAGAAAGTAGAGGCCAGAAATTAAAATAGGCATATAATTATTATATATTGTGCATATAATAAAAAATAATGCATAATATTAAAAAAAAAAGAAAAAATGCAGAAAGGAGGGAACAGAGCAGAGTGAATGAGTTGGGCTCCTGGTTTGCAGGCATGCTGGTCCTGTGGAGCAGGGGGTGAAGGGGGAGCTTACAGGGCACCCAGGTGCTCAGGTGTTACTCCAGGGTTCCACTCGCTCAGGTGAGGCTTGGGCCTGGCCCATGTGCAGGTTCAACCTCCCAGACAGCAGAGACTCGAAGCTGCTGGAGCCACAGAGCCCTGAGTGCATTTCCTTGTGCCCGGGGCTGCCCCTGCTGCTGCTCTGGGCTGGGCAGTGGGAGGCCCCCAGGTGTCTCTGGGGGGCCCCCAGGTGTCAGAGGGAGGCCCCCAGGTGTTTGGCTGCTTCCATGGTGTTTTGGCCAAACGTGCTGGTTGGTTTCTCAGGCTGAGCTCTGGGATGTTCCCAGCCCTTGCAGGGTGTTACCAGACGTGATGGATTAATGCTTGGGGAGCTCTGAGCTTGGCAGATGAAAGGCACTGCAGAAGGGCTGGGGATCATTATTTGTGGTTCTAATTTATTTGCCATCAAAGGGATGAGAGGGGTGAGAAAATGCCATTTGTTCTGGGGCTGGGAGCATCGGTTTGAAGTCTTTTTTTCCTTCCTTTTTCTTCTCCCCTCCCCATTGTGTGTTCCCCTGGGAATTGTGTGGAAGTCCCTGCTCTGTCTTTTCTTCTCTGGGCAGCCGTGTGTGAAGCAGCCAGCTCGGTGCTGCTCTCCAGGGACTTCAAGGGCTGCAGAGTGTGTGGGAAGTGCCTGCCCTGGCTTTCAGGAGCAGCTGATTTCTGGGCACTGCAAATCACCACCAGCTTCAGTGCGAGTCCAGCAGCAAAAAAAGGGAAACATTTCACATGGAATTTGGAAATTGGTCCTAAAAGCAGCTGGCAACGCCCCGAGCCCCTCTCCTTGGGTTCTGTGGCATTCAGTGCTTTGCCTCGTGCTGGCTCAGTTTTGTGTGCTTTGGGAATTCTCACCCTGGAGCAGTGGCAGATATTTCCTGCTGGTGCTGTTGGTCGTAGCAAAGGAGCTGTGATGTGAGGGGCTGGGCACAGGGACCAGGGCACAGCTGGTCATGGCAGCAGTGCTGCTGCTCCCCCAGTGCTGGCACAGGCTGCCAGCCCTGCTCCCTGCCCTGTGTGTGTGGCAGCCCCTTGGCTGCATTGTTCAGCTCTGGGGTTTGTGCACAGCCTGGAGTGGTTGGAGGGTATTCATGCTGGAACTGTCTCATGGGAAAGGCTTCCAGCACAGAACGAGGTTTTGCCCCAAGCAGCAAATGGAAATTCACCCTTTACCTTTTTTGTGTTGCTTGTTGATTTTTTTAAGACAGGTCTATGCCAGTCCATAACTGCCCATACTCTCAATTAATGTGATTAGAAGCTAAATAGAAGCAGGGTAAATGGGGGGCTGTGACAATTCAATCGTTTTTACAAAGCTCCTTGTTATTGCCCATGGATTTTCACAGCTTTCAAAGACTAGGAGGGGCGGTGGGGCTGGGAGTTGGCCCAGTGGAGCTTTGCTGCTGTGTTTTTAGCAGGGGCTGAGGCAAGCACAGCCCTGCTGTGATGTGATGTGAGCTGAGCAGTGTCTCCTCACATCGGCACCGACCAAGGGACGCCTGCTTGGGTTGGAGCCGCTTGTGGCACCAACCGAGATTTTGGATTTCACTTCGAGTTTATCAGTATGAATTTCAGGAGGTATTTCTTCATGGAAAGGGTTGTCAGACACTGGAACGGGCTGCCCAGGGAGGTGATGGAGTTTCCATGCCTGGAGGTGTTCAGGGAATAGCTGGATGTGGCATTCAGTGCTCTGGGCTGGGTGACAAGGTGGGGATTGGTCACAGGTTGGACTTGCTCAGCTCTGATGGAGCTTTCAGGGCAGCAAATCCCTGTGCTGGCATGACACTCGACATGCCAAATTCGGTTATAGTGAGGACAATGTCTAAAACCAGGTTTTTGTCTAAAGTACGGTATTTTTTAGGCATTAACTCCAGGCTTTATCATTTTCCCCAAGACAGACATGAGAGTGAGCAGCACCATGAGCAGCTGCTCCATGGGGGAGGCAGGCAGGTGCCCAGGCCAGAGCAGGGTGTGCACACACTGCAGGTGCCCTCTGCCACACCTTGCTTCAGCGTCACCCGTGCTTGAGAACCTCGTGGCGTGGTTTGGGAGCACGCGTGTGTGTGCGAGCAGCCCCTCCTCTGTGTTTGCCAGTGCTGTGACCTGGGCTTCCACGCCAGCCTTGCCAGGACGTTCAGGACGTACCTGTCTGCCGAGTACAACCTGGAGACGTCGCGCCACGAGGGGCTGGACGTCATCGAGAACGCCGTGGACAGCCTGGACGCGCGCAGCGACAAGCACAGCGTCATGGACATGTGCAACCAGGTCTTCTGCCCCCCGCTCAAGTTCGAGTTCCAGCCCCACATGGGGGATGAGGTAACCTGCTCGCCTCGGGGCTGCCCCTCCTCTGAAGCATCGCTGAGCGATTGCTCCTGACTCCTTATCCCTCCCTGCTGCCTTCACACACCGCTCCTGGTGTTCCCTTTGCTAATGGGGCTCCTGGCTCGTTAGGGCTCCTCCTTTCAGGCTGCCTCTCACTCTGTGTCTGTCCCAATTAGGGAGCCCGTGCTTTGGCTCTCTCTGCCCCCCGGATCTGCTGGGGGAGCTGTGATTAACCTGCTCTAATTGGGACAGGGCCGAGTGCTGAGCAAAACACTCGGTGCTGGCCCGGGCCCAGGGCACTGCTGATGGGACACACGGCAGCACAGCCCCTCTGGGGGCTGCCAGGAGCTGTGGGGGCTGCAGGGAGTGCTGAGGCTATGGAAATGTGTGTCTGGTCCGTGCATGACCCGTGCAATGTCTCCTGTCTCAGGTGTGCCAGGTGAGCGCCCAGCAGCCCGTGCAGACCGAGCTGCTGATGAGGTACCACCAGCTGCAGTCTCGGCTGGCCACCCTCAAGATCGAGAATGAAGAGGTAAGAGCTCAGCTCTGTGGGCAGCACTGCTGAGCCTTTCTGCACTGCAGCCCTCCAGGTGTGCTCAGGTGTGGAGCCCCTCCCGTGGCAGGGCTGGAAGGGCCCACAGACCACAGGCAGTGCTAGCCCAGGGCTCGGGAGCTGCCTGCTGACTGATTGTTTTGGCTCAAGATGTGTCCTCCCCCCAGTCTGCCCCAAACCCACGCTGTCCTGTTTCTGCCAGGTTCGGAAAACGCTGGATGCCACCATGCAGACCTTGCAGGACATGCTGACAGTGGAAGATTTTGATGTTTCAGATGCCTTCCAGCACAGCCGCTCCACTGAGTCGGTCAAATCAGCTGCATCAGAGACCTACATGAGCAAAATCAACATTGCCAAGAGGAGAGCCAACCAGCAGGAGACTGAAATGTTCTATTTCACTGTGAGTCTCAGCTCAGGCCATACAGGACATGGGGCATTAATTGCCGGGGCTGAGGCCCAGTTAAGTGCTCATTAGTGAAGAGCAAGAACCAATTCAGTCTCTTTAAGTACTTGTCTTCTGTCAGATCTGGGTCTGGAATGCATTTCAGTGGCAGGGCACTGCATAGGGACTGACAATCCAGTGCCTGCCTTGCTTTTCTCTTTGAAGGAACAACTGGGGCAGCCAGATGAGATTGAAAACTTATTGAGTGGAGTAGGAGAGGCTCAGAGCAGGGCTCAGACTCCAGATGGCCTCACTGTGAACCACTATCCAGAGTCTCTTCAGGACTGTGAACTGTGAGCCAAGTCTTCCTCTCCAGCCTATACAGCTTAAATTTGCCCTTGGCCACGGATGAGCTGAAGCCCCTGACAGGCCAAGGAAGGCACAAAAGCTGGGCTGTGGTGTGGGTGCCTGCCCTGCAGCTCTTGTGCTGCTCTCCCAGGCAGAGCTCGGGTCTCTGTTCTGGTTCCTGAAATGCAGGCAACAGCCCTGAGTTCACCAGAAGTCTCCCCCATTTCAGTGTGGGTTAACAGCACCTTGTGATGTATTACAAATGCATAGAAGAGCTTCTACTTTCTCTTAATATTATTATTGCAAACTGGGGGGAAATTGCAATTTTCATTTGGAATTGTGCTTGGGATTACTTTGGTTTTTGCAGAGATTTGATCTTTCCCATTCTCTGTTTTCCATCTCTGGTCTCCCTCTCCCCTGTTCCCTGTGCCTTGCTCTGGAGTGTTCTGGGTGTCCTCACTGTGGCATGGGCAGTTGTGCACAGTGTCACCTGCAGCACAGAGCACCTGGCAGTCCCTGCCTGGCTCAGGCACTGGGAGTTCTTGCTTGGCATTGTTGGTCTGCACAGAGATGAAGCCTTGGCAGTGCAGGGAAAGCTGCTTTGGTTTCCCAGGCCCTTCCCAGAAGGCTGACAAAAGAAAGGCAGCTTTGAACTCTTTGTCCCTCTCTGCATTCCTGGGCAGGAGGGGCAGCTCCAAGGAGACCAGGCTAATGAGAGCATCAGGCAGTGCTGGAGCAGGGAGAAGAGATCAGACCCTGCTGAGCCCTGCAGCTGCTGCAGCCTCCTGAGCCCCTGGGCACCAGTGAATGCCCATTAGGGGCTGCGGTGCTTAACCCCCCCTGTTTGTTCTTTCATTCCAGAAATTTAAGGAGTATCTGAATGGCAGTAACCTCATCACCAAGCTCCAGGCTAAACACGACCTGCTGAAGCAGACTCTGGGAGAAGGTGAGTTGGGGTCAGGTCCAGGGAGGGTGCTCCAATCCCCTGGGAGGGTTTAAACCCTGTGTCACTGTCAGCCTCACCTTTGTGTGTTCTCCTGAGGGACTGATGCTTCTGTGCCTGCCTGCTGCTGCCCAGCTAACCTGTGACATGCAAAATCATCATTTCCTTTATTTACTCCTCCCACTTTCCTTTGGGAGTGCACATAGAGAGATCTCTTTGAATCTGACACTGTGTGCTGGAGTGCTGGGTTACTTCTCCAGCAGCAGACATTGCCACTCACTCCCACCCTCTGCCTCTCCCTTTTCTCCCCCAGAAGATTCTAATCTTCTCCCTCCAGATTTCTAATCTGTCTTTTAATGGTGGGGGCATCAGGTGGACATCTCTCCTCCCCAAATGCAGCTTTTCTGTGCTGGAAGCCATTCCTTGGGGTGTGGAGGCAGCAGTGAGGGTGTGAGCACCCCTGCAGTTTGCTCTGCTTTGGTGGTGATGAGGGATGATGAGAACTTGTGTTTCTTACAGGTGAAAGAGCCGAGTGTGGAACAACCAGGTGAGCACTTTCTTCCCTTTCCTTGCTCCCGGGGAGGGCTGGCACTGGCAGGAGGGGGCTGTGGGAAGGGGGGTTTGCTTTGCTACTGGTGCAGCTTGGTGGGTTCAGTTGCAGCCCCCCGTGCCCCACATCCTGCTTCCCAGCTGCATGGCCTGGAGTGCTGGGCTCGGGGGATGGCAGGCAGCCCCTGCTTCTGCTGCAGGGTGCTCTCTGGCTGGCTGCCTCTGGTGTGCCTGGGTGTGCTTGGCCAGCACGGTGCAGTGCCCTGGAGCACAGCTGGGGTGGGGTGGGGCTCACAGGGTGACACGAAGGTGTCCATGCACTCACTCCCTGCCACCCCTCTTCCTTTGTGGACTTCAGTGTGTCCCTGAAATCCTCTGCCAGCTCTGGCTGCTTTAGCTGTGAGTGCAGAGCGTGCCTGTGTCACAGACTTCAGCCCTTTCTGCAGGAGATAGGGCTGGGTAAATGTGACAGGGGAGAGGCTTTGATCCATGTCCAGTCCATGAAGCATCTCCACAGAGCTCCAGTGCTTGCTAGGAGTGTGCTGGTGTTCTGACAGCGAGGCACAGGCCAGCACAGCCTCCCAACAGCTCCCTGGAACATGCACAGCTCTCTGTGTGTGAGCTTGTTCCAGCCTTGTTTGTGTTTAATACAATTTATAATAGCAGCAGAAAAAGCTGCATTCCCTGTTAGGAGTGGTGGAGCAGATGGTGCAGCCTGGGCTGCCTTGCCAGGCAGGAAGGAGGCTCCTTGTGCCAAGAGGTGTCAGGGCTGGGCACCCAGCGGGCACCGAGGTGCTGCCAGGACAGAGAGGGACCTTCAGGGATCAGGCTCCCACCACCCAGTTCTGTCAGTGCTTGCAGTCGTGTGACATCAGTACAGCCTGGGGCAGAGGGCAGGGCAGAAATCTGTTTGGGATTTTGTGTTTTTTTTCTCCTTTTTCTGGATCTGGACACTGAATGCCCTTCATTACCCAGAGGAATTGGACTGGGAATAGCATTAATGAAAGTAGCCCAACTACTGAAACCTGTCACAGGCTTCTTGGTCACTGGCAGTGCGAGGGTCATCCCCATCCCTGGCATTCCAAACAGAAGCTAGATACAGGAAAGGGGAGGTGTTCCCACTGTCCTCATTCTGTGAGCAGAATGAAATCTGTTTAGGAACAAACAGGAACCCCAGTGCTGTCTGGGGTCGCTGTGGTTTATTTTGGATTGATCTCCTCACTGCCCTTGGTTTCCTGCTGGAGTGGTGTCCATGTGGGACACGCCAGTGAGTGGCTGCAGGGGGTGTGGAGCTCCACATCAAATCCTCACAGAGGGACTTTTCTGTTTGATTTTTTTATTCTCAGTTATAACCTGTGAGGTCTCACCCTGTCATTGCATTTACGTTGGTGTTTTGTTGATTTATTTTGTTCCATTTTCTCCCAGGCCCCCATGTCTTCCCCCTAAGCCACAGAAAATGAGGAGACCTAGGCCTCTCTCAGTGTATAACCATAAACTCTTTAACGGCAATATGGAAACGTTCATTAAGGTACTTCTGGCTGGCAGGAGGAGTGTGTGAACGCTGCAATGGAATGGTGGCTGTCCTGTCCTGTCCTGTCGTGGCTGCTGCCATCCTCAGGGGTCCCTCTGGCCCATCTGCTCCCAGCCTGGCCTCGGTGATGATTTCTGCCCATAGCTCCCCTTGTGCATTGCTGCCCCATCAGCTGTGAGCTCCACACCCGCCCAGGGCTGCTGGCAGGTGCAGGATGAGGCTGAGTGTCCTCATGGTCCTGCTGCTGCTTCCCATCCCGAGAAGAAAGATGACACAAGCTCAGCCCGGCAGCACACACAGCCCCCTTCCTCATTTCCACCTGGGTTTGGTGGTCACCCATCACTGTGGCTGAGAAGGAAAATAAAACGAGCCCAGGAAGTGTCTCTCACTTTCAAGGACTGCCAGCCTGGGGTACAAATCCTGTTGTATGGGTGGGCACGTTTTAGGGCAGGCAGGTGATCCTCAGCTTTCCACACAAATACATCAGTAACAACCACAGCTGCTGTCCTGCTCTGGAGAAAGCTTCAGTGAAAACTCTTCAGTAAAGACAAACTGTTGGATTAGGTGACTAATAGGCATCATCTGCTGGGTTTATTCCCTCCAGCTCAGCCCTAAGCCCGAGGGCAGTGTCTGTACACAGCCCCAGCACAGAGAGCCACTGGCCCTGCTGGCAAAGCCTGTAATCCCATTAGGATTTGTGATTACTCCTGACTTAAACTGGTTTTTAAAAAAGTAATGCTCATTAAATCCCAGCCTGTTGAGCACTGAGAAGGAGGAATTGCCTGCTCTAGAAATCCATGTGAGCAGAGTGTCCCGTGCTGGCAGACACCCCTGGGGGGATGGCTGCCTGCCCTTGGGCTGTCCAGTCTCACACCTGGGCCCTGGGCAGCTGCCCAGCTGTCCCCTGGTCACCCAGTGCCCCCCTAGAGCCTTGTGTGTGCCCCAGGCAAGGTCTGTCCCTGTCCTCAGGCTCCTGGGAACGCCACAGGTTGAGGCAGGGAGGAGTGTGAGGGGCTGTCCCTGCCGAGGCTGGGCTGCATGGGAGGGAAGGAGGGAGGGAGTCCCACAGGCCTGTGTTGGCCCTTGCTAAGCTGCCATTGCATTTGAGCGTTCATGGCCTCCAAAGGAGATGCTTGCCTCTAACTGAACTTATCCCTGCTTAATCTGTTCTCTTTTTTCCACTCTGCTGCTTTTCTGTGTGCTCAGAGGAAGGAGGAATGCACGAACGAGGAATCAGGTACTGGCTGAGACCCATCTGTGGCACGGAGGGAACTGCCCAGAGATGCCACTGTGCTCTGCTGGGAAAACAACCAGAATCCCAAAGAAAACTGTGTCCACTTGGGCTGTCAGACATGGCCCACGGTCCCCTTGAGCTTCTGCCACAAGGGGCCTGGGGAGAAGCCAGAACTCACACTGGTTCACACTCAGGCGCTTCATCCCACACACTGTGGCGTTTGTTGGGTTTTTCAGCACCTGCTGACAGTGGCTCTCTCCTTTGGTGGAAATGTTGTTGTAAGCTGTGTGATGGGAAGCCTACTCCCTCAGGCATAGCACAAGTTTGATTTCAGCTCAGCTGAGATCCCTCGTGGCAGTCTCCTGTCTGAGCCAGGCAGGGAGCAGCAATGTTTCACACAGCTCAGCTGCAGCTTCCTTGTGCACTTCTGGCTGCACATGATGTCCTCAGTGCTCTTTGATGGCTCCATGTTTGTCACCCCTCCTTTCCCTGCCTGTCCTCTTACTAAACTCCACAGCACTAATTTTCAAATCTCTGGTTTTCCAATCTTTAATGCACTTCCCATGCTTTGTTAGCAATAAACCAGTAATTTTTTCTCTCTTTCCTTTCCTGCAGGATTCAGGACAGGCCATTCCACTTGTTGTAGAAAGCTGCATCCGCTACATCAACCTGTATGGTAAGTGGGCTCAGGACAGCAAGGAATAAAACAAGGAATAAAGCAAGGAATAAAGCACTGGAGTGAGCAGTGGGAGCCAGCACAGACTCCAGGGTGCCTGCAGTCCATTCCCCATGGGCTCGGGTTAGAATGGGCTGTGGTGCAGCCCTGGATGACTGGGGAATAGTGAGGTTTTGTTAGTGCCCAGGTTAAATTGTTCACTCAGGCCATGAGCCCTTTCAGCACCTTGATCTGGGTCCTTGGCTGGGGAAGAGGAGCACAAGTGAGGTGCAGCAGGCTGGGGAAGAGGAGCACAAGTGAGGTGCAGCAGGCTGTCCCTGCTTGTCCCTTGCTGTCCCTGCTTGTCCCTTGCTGTCCCTGCTTGCTCCAGCCCTGTCTGGTGCATCGACTCCTGGATTCTGCTGCTTCTACCTGCAGGTATTGCCCAGCAGTTCCAGAAATCTCTCCTAAAGCATTATTCTCTTCCAGGCCTCCAGCAGCAGGGCATCTTCAGAGTCCCTGGCTCCCAGGTGGAAGTCAATGACATCAAGAACTCTTTTGAGAGAGGTGTGTAGCTGGGTGTGCAGTACAGCAGGATCCCTGCCTGGGCAGGGGTCCTGGGAGGGAGGTGGTGTGTGCTGGGTGCCTCAGCCATGGTGTAAAGCCTGTGGTGAATAAAGCCCTTTCTGCTATGAGACATGAGCAGATTTTATCCCTGTTGGGTTTCTCAGTGCTGTGTCTCTGGCAGTAGCAGTCACCCAGGGAAGGAGTGTGAGAAGCAGGGGTACCTGCAGAAGTCTTTTCCACAGTCATTAAAAGCATAAGAGCCAGAAAAGAGTTTGCTGGGGATCCTTGTTCATCCTTCCTGCAGCATTTGCCCAGGGAGGTGCAGCATTCCTCCCTGTACCTGCTGGCTGTGGAGGCACCAGTGAATCTGCAGAGAAAATCACACTCAGGGTGCCAGGCCAGTGAGAAAGGGAAAGCTCCTGCTGTCCTGGGTGGAGGGCAGCTGTGACAGGGACAGTCCTGCTGGGAATAGTGGCCCTTAATCCTTGAGCAGCATTGGAAGGATCAGGATGAAGGTGGATGGGCCAATGGATAAGGCAGTGTTATTTTCCAAGGCTGGAGGATTTGCACATCCAATTTAAGGTGAATTAGTATCCAAATCTCAGGGACACTGAAAGCCTTTCACAGATTTAAGTCAGTACAAAGCTGTCCAGAACCCCTGGGTCCATTCCAGAGCTGTAATTTTATCCTCCAGCCAAGCCTGTCCTCTCAGGCTCTCACCCACTGTCCTTCAGACCTCCTCAGCTTTCCTTCTGGAAAAGGATTGGTGCCATAAATGCAGAAAATGACTGGGCTGGAAACGGTGGAGGAGACACAACCAATATCATCCTTGTCTCCTAAAGGTTTGAAATCCCCCAGTAGAACTTTAGGTTTTCAGGAAAAATCAGCATTGCCATTGCACAAGAGGAGAGTTTCTGAACCCTGGGGAATTTGGGTGTTCCACTAAATGAGGAAAAACACTTGTGTTAGTCCAGCCTGAGGGTGATGCTGGATAGGAAACCTTTTCTGTGGGCAGGTGAAGACCCCCTTGCTGATGATCAGAATGAACGAGACATCAACTCAGTGGCTGGAGTCTTGAAGCTGTATTTCCGAGGACTGGAAAACCCCCTCTTTCCTAAGGAAAGGTTTCAAGATTTGATATCTACTATAAGTAAGTACATGTGGCAGCTCTTTGTGGAGAGCTGGGTGGGAAGAGAGAAGCACTAAATGGGGGCAGGTACACCTGAGGTACACACAGGTGGTCAGTGGGAGCTGTGAGGAAAGGACAGGAGTGAGCACTGGGGAGAGGGAGAGGGGAGATCACTTCTCTGGGGGGAATGGAGGAGGCAGAATGAGCTTGAAGAGGTGATGGAAGTGCTGCCCATTTTGGCTGCAGGTTACAGGAGAGATTTTGGGCCGTGTCAGCTGTAGGGCACCAGTGGGGCACAGCCTGGGAGAAGGGGTGGGTCCCCTCCAGGGCCAGAGTGTGCTTGGGGAAGTGGCTGCCTGTGTCCTTGCAGGTAGGCTTGTGTTTGACACCATCCCTAGTTAATGCAAATTTGCACAATTTATTAAGCTTTTGGGAATTTTTTTGCAGACATCATCTGTTACTTTTCAGGGTGTTATTCTCTTATCTCTCTCCATTTTTCCAAATTGAACAAGAATCTTCCTCATCTTTTCCTGCTGCTCTTACAATCTTTAGCTCAAGGATAGGTTTTAAATAAATTACCTTGTTCCAGTTAAAAATCCGACCTGAAGCACAGCTGACTGTGCCACACAGACACCCATAAACACAGGCTGCACACTTGGTGTCCCAGCCCAAGCAGGGTGAAGAGCCTTTCCTTTGCTTCTTGGAGGGCTGGGGGTTTCTGTGGAAGCTCCTCTAAGGCACAGGGGCAATAGAGAGGTCCAAAGGCACTTTTCAGAGTCCCTATGGGCTGTCCTCGTGTGTGCAGTGCTGATGGGTACCCCGTTAATTCCTGAATTAAACCCAGTCTAAACGTTTTGCTCAGTGAGAAAGGCAAGTGCTTTGAGAGCTTGTTCCTCTGGGTGTCAGAACAGATACCTATTGTCATAGGGTGTTATCCAGTTTGTATTTAGTTGTGGGTTTTTTTAACAAATATCCTCTTATGTGAAACCAAACTGAAGCAGAGAACCCATCAGGCAATAATGGGATAAATCAAATGGAAAAAATCCCCATGTGAAATACTATAAAGCTATCCATCTTGGTCTTGAGGCCAGATTTTGCTCAGAATTTTGATTTAATGGCAGCCTAGCTACACGTTGTCAGGGAATTTTACTGTGATTAGCAAATGGCATAGTTTGAGCCAGAACAAGCACTTGTGTGTGATCTGCCTGCTCCAGAAAAGCTCTGGTGCTTTCCTCTGTGGAACAGCAGCCACAGGATTAACTCTGTACAGACTCTCTCTGTACAGGGGGAGCTTAGGGCAGGACAGAGTGACCCCCTCCCCTGGCAGGGAGCAGGTGTCTGATGGCAGCTCTGGGCTCTGCAGCCCTGGGCACTGGAGAGCAGTGACCCTGAAAGTACTGGTGCAGCTGATCTGTTTCCTAGGAAATCCTAATTCCTATTCAGAGCAGTAGGAGACAGGAGCAGAAGGGCTCAGAAGGATCCAATGCATAACCCAGAAGGGTAACCTGAATAAGAACCTCATTTAAAAATCTGCCCTAGAAAATCAAGCAGTGCTCTGTTTTCAGTGCCACATTGACTCAGGCTTTTGAGGAACAGAGGAGTTGTTGAGGAATGAAATGAATAATGCATAAACATTTATTTCAAAAAGGAACCCACAGAAATATCTTTATTTGCTGTTCATACTGTATCTGAACATAGGAATTCCCACTGGAGCTGCAGTGTCCCCCATTCTCTTTCTGCACCTTAGTACCTCGCTCACAGATGACCTCTGGAGACAGGCTTTTGTCTTCCTCACTTACTGGGCCACAAGATCTGGAACAAGTCCCTCTGGTGCTGAGCTGTCTGGTCCCGAAAAGGTTTTTAAGGATGTGCTTTCTATCCATGTGTTCCAGAAACTGAGAACCCTGCAGAGAGAGTGCACCAGATCCAGCAGATCATTGTCACTCTGCCTCGGGCTGTCATCGTGGTCATGAGATACCTCTTTGCTTTCCTTAACCAGTGAGTGTTTTCCTGCTTCACCGAGTTCTCCTGGCTGTCCCTCCTGCCGGGGCTTCCCTGTCTCTGCTGCACGAGTCCTTGTGGTGCTGCCATGGGGAGCTGTGCCTGGTTCCTGCCCAGCCTTGCTGAGCCTGGCTGTGTGCCTGGGCCAGGGGCCAGCTCGGGACGGGGCTGGGGCTTTGCTGGGAGGTTTTCCAGGCGGGCAGGAGCACAGCAGAGCTCCCTCCCACGTGTGCTTGCAGCTTGTCCCAGTACAGCGACGAGAACATGATGGATCCCTACAACCTGGCCATCTGCTTCGGGCCCACGCTGATGCACATTCCTGACGGGCAGGATCCCGTGTCCTGCCAGGCCCATGTCAATGAGCTCATCAAAACCATCATCATCCACCACGAGGGCATCTTCCCCAGCCCCCGGGAGCTGGAGGGGCCTGTCTACGAGAAGTGCATGACCGGAGGGGAGGAGTACTGGTGAGCTCTCTGCAGGGTTCCTGGGTGCACACGCCTTCTGCAGGCCAGGAGGCTCTTGCACACTGATTTGATTTAGTCTTACCAGTCAGAACAAGCGGTTTCACCAGGTATTGCATTTTCTTGTGCTGACTCAGTATCATAAACCTCAGTAAAAAACATCAAAAGAAACCTTTTCCAGTGTAGGTACTAATATTGATGGAGATTTTTTGTGCTGCAGATCACACAAGCGTGTTCAGCAAAATGGAATTTTAGGTAAATTCTATTCAAACTCATTCTAGGCTGGAAATTTTGAGTAAAGACTCATAGTTCCATCATAATTTCCCATTTGGATGAAATCCCTTGGCCCAAGGTTAAGCCAAGCCTTCCAGTTCCCTTTGTTGCTGGAATTGTAACCCAACATTCAGGTCTGGGTTTAACAAACCAGGATCAATAACAGACTTGAACTGATTTCCTACAGGTTTCATACATTTCTGAGACCTTACCATGCCTGGTACTGTCACCTGCCACCATCCCTCCTGGTGCAGCAGAGCAGCTAAAGCTCACTGTGAATTAGGGAGTGGGACATTTAACTTGGTGTCACTTCCTTAGCTTTGCCAAACTCTACTAAAGACACAAGAGCCAACAGAATGTGACATTCTAGGTGTGGTGTGAGTGTCTGCTGTTCTCAGAGCAAGCCTGGGGATCTGCTGTGATTTGAAATCACAGAATCAGAGAATCACAAATCGCAGAATTAGGAAGGCTGGGGAAGACCTCCAAGACTGAGTCCAACCTTTGACCAAACCCCACCTTGTCACCTGAACACATCCATGGAACAGTCGTTCCTTGTGCACCCCCAGGGCCGGGGGCTGCACCAGCT